CGTTGGCAGCGGGCGTGGCGGCCGCAGCAGCGGCACCGACAGCCGCACCCGCGAAGGGCAGTGAGGAATGGAGACACCCAGACCCGCCCGGGATAGGAGGAGACGAATGAAGAGCGAGACACGAGACCACGAAATCTGACGTCGCTGTGTAAACAACGCGTTCCTTTGCTTATGGCTGCATACGTGCTGTCTGATCTGTTTTCATTGGAGCTGAAGACGGGCTTGGCTTCTCAGAACAATCTTGTCATCCTTTGTGGCGTTTGGCTCCCGGATGATTTTATGCCATGGATGGATCTGTTTGTGTTGGAACATGCCTGCATCCTCTGGATGTCCTGTAAGGCATTGCATCATGCATCACCGGTCGTGTCGGCGCCTTGTTCGCACGTTCCGTCCGTTGTCCGTGATTTTCCGCTCGGGTGATCCTTTAAACGTGAAGGAATGACGGGAACGTCGGTTGCGTTTCTCCTGCCCGTTATAGACGCTTTCTAGCAGCAGCCAGCGAGTGCCGCGCGTCTCCTCTTGTCGGGACGCTTTCTTCGCGTGCGCGGAGCGTCGTGCGTGCACGTGAACCTTCTTGAGGCGTGTTGTTCTTTCTCGCGGCCGCCGGTCGGCCTCCGTATTTGTGTTGTCGGAGGCCGTCGTCGCCGCCCCCGCCTCGCCGATGCCAGGTCTGTGTGTTTTCACGCCCTCGCCCGTCGCCGCTCCGCGGTGCTTCGTCTCCAGGACGTCGCCTTTGTTTCACCAGCCGCGTTACCTGGCGTTGGACGTTCTCCGCCGCTGTGCTTGTGCACGTCCTCCGCCCTGCGGCTGGCTCCGCCGGGTGTGGCGCGGAGCCCCGTCGGGTGTTCTGTGGTGCTCCGCCGAGTGTTGTGTTGTGCTCGGAGGGGTGTTGTGCGGCGCTCCATCAAGTGTTGTGCGGCTCGCCGCTCGCCTCTCTCCGCCGCACGGTCTGTCGATGCGCCCCGGTGGCCGACGCCGTGCGTGCCCCGGTAGCAGCCGCGGCCGCTACCCTCTCCGAACAGGGCTTCCGTGAGCCGCCTCGGAATGTCGCTGAAGGTCGAGCTGCCGGACCGCGGCGGCGGCTCAGTGCTGGGCTCCTCTCGGTCTGCTGGCTGCGATGGGACGATAGGCGGCCGGACGGCCCAGTGTCCAGTTGGTGGGCCGTGCTCCGCTGCTCAGTCGCGCTCCAGGACTGCCAGCGCGTGCCGTCCCCTCCAGACGGCCGGACGGCTCCGTCGAGCCGTCCCCGGACGTCGACCTGGGGTTGTGACCCGGCCCGGCCCGTCGCGGCCTCCACTCTCCCACTTCCTCTGGTCACCTGGCACCCCCCACCCCCCGGCGCCCGGTCGACGGTGCCGGCCGGCCCTGCGTCGCCGGTTTATTTTCGCCCGGGCGAGCGCGGCGCCGGTCGGGCCCCTTTGTGCGGCGGCCGGCCGAGCCGTGCCAGTTCCCTGGCCGTGGTGGGGTGTGCCCCCGGTGGGAGCGCGACTCGGTGCGACACCAGAGCCGCACCATGGGCAGACGGCGGCGGCGAGGTCCACAGCAGGTGAGGAGCGCGTCGTGCGACAGCGGGGTCAGTGTGGACGAAAAGTGCGCGTTGCGATGCCGCTGGGGCTGTACTGATCGTCCCTGGGTTGGGTGGGCCCCTGATGCGGGGCTGTGTTCCGCTCGCGTGCTGCCGCCGCCGATTGCGTGTGTGCGCCACGGGGGGGGGGGGGAGGAGCGGTCAGAGATTGGACGCCACGTCCGGGACGGATGGCCGTCCATGTGACGTTCTCGGCGCTGACCGCTGGCGTGCGCCGGTGCCGGCGGCGTCCGTGCTGGCGCGCCGGCCAGATGGCGTTCATCTGTCGCCTCTGTCGCGTCGGCGCCGCGTGGTGCCGTCTCGCCCCGGCCGGGAGCAGAGCGGAGCAGGTCTGCAGATGACGCGGCCGGCCGGCCAGCTCTGCTGGCTCTGGTCGGGTCTGGCCCTGCCATGTGCCGTTGTCGACACAGATGGGATGCTGCCTTGGATGCTGGGCCTCACTTTGCTCCAGGAGCCATGTACCATGACTCCTTGCTGACTCAGCTTGGAGGAGGCCCCGCCGGAGCCGAGCCTGTCGACTCGTGCCGGTGTCTGCCGGGCGAGCCGTGCCGGTCCGGCCGCCGCCCCACCGCCCGGTCGGCTGGCGGGCCGACCCATCCGACCGTGTCGGCCGGCCCGCCCCGCCAGCTCGCCTTACCCGCCCTGTTTTTGCGGCGCTGGTGCGCCGTTGCGGTACTTTCACCCCTGCCGGGTCGCTCCGGCGGAGGGGCCGGGACTGGTATTCGGCTCGCGTCCGTGGACGGAGCGCGTGGTGGCGGCGCGCCTCGCCCGCTCCGGCGCGGCACCTCTGGCCTGCAGCCAACGGGCCAGCCGCGTCGGCCGCCTGACTGACGCGCGTCGGTCGGCCTGACCCTGACCTTACGCCGGGGAGGACGCGTTCGGCGGCGAGCCGAGCCGGGCCGCGTGGGCGGCCGGCTGGTGAGCTGTCGGGAGGCGGGTCGTCCAGAGGACAATCAGGCGTTGGCCGAGACCTCGGCCGTGGCCCTGCCCGCAGGAGTCTGTCTGCTGCACTTTGGACCCAGTCGGTCGGCCTCCGCGCGTCTGATAGCCGTCATCAGATTGGCCGTTGTCGGCGGACTGCCGGGCGGCACAGTGACCGCCCGGCTCCAGGTGGCGTCGCGGGGCTTCTGTCGGGCTCGTCGGCCTCGTCTTCACTGGATGAGCGTCAGCGCCGCCGCCGCGCTCATTTCGGAGGATGCTCGCCTGCTCGTGGCCCGGACGGCGTCGTCGCTGGTGTGCTTGTGAGGGCTCGGCCGGACCTCCCAGACGCGCTGCGCTGGTTCGTCCGGCGGCCTTGCTGCCGTGCTCCGCCCGCCCCCGGACACGCGGCAGTTGCCCAGCCGGTCCGGTGGACGTGCAGCACCGGTACCGAGAGGCTCGCGGACCGGTCCGTCGGCCCCGGCCGCACCCAGCCGGGCCGGTGTCCGGCGCCGGCCGGCGGGGACCCGTCGTCGCGTGATCTCGCTGCTCAGACCCTCATCGCGGCCCCGTGGGACCGGCCGGCCCGCTGCCGGCAGGTCGCCAACGGCAGCTGGCTGGGCGCCCGTGTTCGCCGTGTGACCAGAGCCACACAGCACAACAGGGTGCTTGGCACCCGTAACTAACTCCTCTGACGGGAAATATTGGGGTACGCTTAGTGGGCAGCGGACTTGAAATATCTGCGGTTTTCGGGCGGAGGGCTCCCATGAATTCTAGCACTGGCAATAAGACCACGATCTCACTGGTTATCGATTGAAATAACCACCCATGTTACATAAATCTCATTCAAAATTAAAGCGTGTTGCCAAGGCTCCTCACTAGCAGAGTATTTGCTCATGTCAAGAAGCTTCGAAAGTAAACCGTATGGTGGATGTGCGAGAAACATCCTCGATATGTGTGTAGTTACGGGATAAACAGGCTGTCTGGAACTAGACGAACTGCTTTCAGTTTTGGTGCAAGTTACAAGAATGGATGGCAGTGGTGTCTACATCATGAGCTTGCAGGCATTAGGTCGTGGTGTAAGGTCGCAGTCCTATTTGGTGTCTGTGTTAACAGATATAACTCAAGGAATCGTACCAGAGCTTTCCTATGAATGCTGATGGGAAGCCAACGCATATATGTTTTTGTGTCCGTGATCACTTCGCAAAAGCACCTGCACTCGTGCCCAGTGAGGGGAGGGTTTGTCCTGAACTCTGGAGCTCGGCCTCGCGAGGAAGTGTCGGGCTTGTTGTCGCGTCGCCTTGATTTGCCCTACCACAGAGATACGGCGATCCTGTGCTGGTGCGAACACGCATGCGTGCGGGGTGTTCGATTATTAGCAGGGTTATAAATGAAATACGTTTGATCGCGCGAATCGTTTGACCCGCTCAGATGCGAGTGACGTGGATGCCCAGGATCCGCCAGTCACCTGCGGTCGGTTGTCACTCATGTCTTAGTCGCTACTCAGAATTCCGTCGCATACCTGATCCATCAAATTGACGTGGCTATCTGCCTTTGCGACGATGCCAGCCCGAGGGTAAACGGAGGCGACGTGCGCGGTGCGGCGGCGCCGCGGGCCGCTGACGGACGAGCTGTCTGCCGCGCGCCCCTCCGGGTGTCGGCGGCCGGCCGCCGCCGCGTGCCTGCGCCCGCGGAATTAGCCCGGCGAGCGCGGCTCGCTCTGCGCCGCGTTAGGACCGGAAGTGATTGGATTGGGTGACGACCGGGTAGAGCTCAGCGAATGTCGGGATGTGCGCTGCAGCCGTCGTGCTGCGGTGGCCGGCGTGACAAGGCCGTCAGCGCGAGCCGAGTTTTTCCTTGTTCCGCTCCCTTTTAGCAGCTATCAGTTCCGCTTATCGCGGTCGCACTGCGGTAGACTGGCGAGCTGGGAGCTGACGCCGCTGGCTGGACGGCACCGAGGCACGTCGCCGTGGCGGCGAAGTGCCTCGGCGAGAGGGTAATGATTTGGGGTCATCAACGAGGCAATATTTATCATAAGTGAGGAAACCGATTGGGGAACATTCCGATAGTGAGAAGGATGCTGCATGACTGAAGGCATGAGTCACACAACGGTCTCCTAGAGGCGTCAGTAATCGAAAGAAAAACTGCTTTCCACCTGTCTGCGGCACATATTCTCCTCTTGTCGTCCCCGCACTGCTTAAGCAAATCGTCCTCGGCAGTCGGACAACAGTCAACAGTCGAACAACAGTCAACGGTCGAACAGCAGTCAGCAGTCGAACGTGCCGCAGCTTTAGCTCAGTTGGGTGCGCGCTCGGCCTCCACGCGGGAGACCTGGCTCGATTTCCGACTGACACTTTGGTCTCCGGTAGCTAACAAAGTCACTGCAGTCTCCAGCGCTCCTCAAAGGTTTTACGGGGGACATGTGCCACGCAGTCGTAAAAAATGACACCACCGGACCCGGCCCGCCCTGTACTGACCCGCCCTCCCCCGGTTGCAGTCGGGCGCGCCGTCTCGTTACGACGCGGTGCGCGCGCTCGACGAGGACGAGAACTGGCGCGACCGCACCGAGGTCATCACCAAGCAGGACCACACGCTCAACAAGCAGCTGGCAAGGGACATCGTCGAGCAGATCGTCGACAGCGCCGCCAGGTGGGCTGACCGCGAACTAACGGCGGCGGTGGCGGCGGCTCTCCGCGCAGCCCGCCGCAGTCAGCAGAGCAGGCTTCTCGGAAGGTGCCGAGCCGGGCTCGAGCGCCCCGCCGTACCGCATTCGGCCGTTAGAGGAAGGCCGTGTGGCCATGCGACTGCGGCGCCCAATCAAAGCAACTAATCGCGAGAGTACGTTGTATGCACCATAGTTTGTATTTGAGTCCAAACACGTCAGAGTGTTTGTTTGCCATGTTGTGTTGTGCGGGCCGATGTGTGTCAGGCAGCGTGGATGATGCCCTGTGCCGTCTGACGCGGTGTGTGTTGCAGCGCGCCTGTGTTGCACGGGCCGGTGTGTGTCGGGCGGCGCCGATGATGCCCGGCCCCGTCTGACGCGGTGTGTGTTGCAGCACGCCTGTGTTGCGCGGGCCGATGTGTGTCGGGCGGCGCCGATGATGCCCGGCCCCGTCTGACGCGGTGTGTGTTGCAGCACGCCTGTGTTGCGCGGGCCGGTGTGTATCGGGCGGCGTCGATGATGCCCGGCCCCGTCTGACGCGGTGTGTGTTGCAGCACGCCCTCCGAAGACTCGTCTCAGAGCTTCGCCACGGTGTCGTCGAACCCGCCGGCGCCGCCGCTCCCCACGTCGGCCAGCCTGCCGGACGTGGTGCGCGGCGTGGCTGACCCGCGCGCCGCCGACTCCGGCGACTCAGGTGGGTGAGCGGGAGGTCAACTGTGGCGCGGCACACCGGGCGCGAGGCCTCAGATGCGTTTCAGGGCCTTTGAATGGTTATTTTCTGTTTTGTGGTATTGAAAGACAGCGAAATAAGCTGTCGGGGCATCGGGGACGGCGCACCCCGGGCGTCTCGGTCGTTTTCGGCCGGTCAGCTGGTCTCCGGCGGCCAGCCGAGGTCAGGTCAGCTGAGGACGCCTGCCCACGTCATTTTCTGGCCGTTGTGTACTGACAGGGTCTGCTGCGCTGTATTACGCCACCCTCGCAATGTGGAACAGTCCGCTCTCTTGCTCTCCTTTGTCCCTGTGTCATGCAACTGCAGTGCTCTTCTGCCCTGCCCCGCTCCACGCGCCTTATCACTGCCTATCACTGTCGCGTCCCATCACCGACTGAGGTCATTTGCCCTCGATGACGTCACGATCTCTGGATTTCCGCTCTTCTCCGCACTGTCGTTTGTGCGGCGCGCCCGCCTGGTGCCGGCGTGAGCGCGTGGTCTCGGTCGCAGGCCTGCCGCCCGCAGTGCGTCCGATGCCAGCCGCGGCTGAGGCCAGGTCGGCCCAGCGGACCGGTGAGATGGCGTGCTTAGCAGGCGAACGGTGCCTCCCTGCCGACTAACAGGGCCGCCGGCCAGCACGGACTGCACCCGCCGCCCCCGTAACACGGCCAAACACGATCACGCCGGCCTTGACAGGACGGGCGCGGAGCGTGAGACTCCCGGCGACTAAGACCCGCTACACTGGCGTGTTTCCCCGGCGGGGTGGACCCTCCCCCCCCCCCCTGTCGGCCAGGGCGGGAGCGGCCTTGCGGCGGTACAGGTGTCGCCTCTCGCCGGCGACCGCCGCCGGGCGCCCACTAAGGTCGGTCGGCGGTGGTCGCTGGCCGCCGGTTGCCGGTTGCCGGTTGCCGGTCGCCGGTCGCCGGTGGCGTGTGTGCGGCTGCTGGTCTCTGGCGGCGGCTGTCGGAGCCGCCTCCGTCGCCCGGACGGTGCGGCCGTGTGCACCGGTGGCGGCGGAGCGTCTGGCCCGGCGCGCCTCAGCCACGGCTGAAGAAAACCGGCCTGCTCTGTGGCGTGCCAGAAAGTGTGTAAAAAGCTGCACAATGCGCGTGGAGGCTGGGCACGGATTCGGACGGCTTGGTATCGCGAGAAGACGAGACCAGCGCAGTTTGGCTGAGAGGAAAACAGCTGATCGTGTTGGCCCAACTGTGGGCTGATGCGTGTAGCTGGCCACGCCTGCTCAAACGCCACCGACGAATCGGCCCGTCTGTGGACGTTTACAGGGTTGATGTAAAATCTCGGCACTGTTACTGGTGTCGGGTGATTAGTTCCCGCTTGTGTGTTTGCATAGCATAGAGTGTGCGTCGTTCGGGAGTCCGCTTGTTCCCAAGCGCTGTGGCGTTGCGTGGCCCCTGCATGACAGCCGCTGTTTTCGACGCCGGTGCTTGCCGTTACAATAGAAGACAACGCCCACCGCTGGAGCGTGCTGTGAGTGTTGTGTCAAAGGTTCCCGTGACTAAGCAACACTTGAGGCTGGGTGCGAACCACGTGCAGCTCGAGGCGATTGGCGTTCTTGAGCTTTTGAGGCTTTCAAGTTGGCGAGGGGTGTGATTTCTAAGGCATGGTGGTGGCAGCTTGTCGCCCATCGCGTTTCCAATCATTTGAACTTCTCGAGCCGGTATCTGACCTGCACCTCTGTAGCGAGCATCCCACCTCTGGAGCCGGCATCCCACCACTGGAGCTGGCATCCCACCACTGAAGCCGGCATCCCACTTCTGGAGCCGGCATCCCACCTCTGGAGCCGGCATCCTACCACTGGAGCCGGCACCCCACCTCGAGTTCCTTCATCGTCATCATGATCACGCCCTCGTATCAGCAGAACATGGGTCGGATGTATGTGTGTGTTTGGTACATACCGTAACGTGATGGCTCTCACATGGCACGTCACAGGCGCGTGTGCTCGGCGTCGTCGTCAGGCGGCCTGACACCGTGCGTGGCGTGTGACCGTGCTGACTGGTGCGTCGCCAGAGTACGAGTCGGCGCCGGAGCAGGAGGACGAGCCGGGGCCGCCGACGATCCGCTCGGAGGCGTCACTGCTGGCCGACCAGCTGCTGGGATTAGCACTGCAGACGCCGCTGAAGCGAGCGCCGGCCGCACAGGCGGGCGACCAGAGCTGCGCCGACAGCGCGCCACAGAGCCCGCCGTCGTCGCCGAGCCCGTTCGCGGGGAGCGCGGCTGCGCGCGGGTCCCCCGAACCGAGGCCGAGCGAGCCGGCGCCGGCCACACAGGCGGCGGAGCAGCCGCTCGCGGTCCGCGGCGCGTCCGAACGCGAAGCGGCGGGTCCGGCCGCGGCGCCGGTGCCGGAGACCGTCCCGGGGACGGACGGTGTCCCTGAGACCGCGCCAGCTGCGCCCGCTGAGCCGGAGCCGACCGCCGCGGCGGAGGACCCGGAGCCGGAGCCGGAGCCGGAGCCGGAGCCGGAGCCGGAGCCGGAGCCGGGGCCGGGGCTCGCTGCGGCCGTCAGTGCTGAGTCGGACAGTGCGCGGCAGGCGGACAGCGGCGCCGAGCCGGCTGGAGAGCCAGAGGCCGCGCCGCTAGTGGTCGGTGACACGTGTCAGCCGGAGCAGGGGCGTGGCTCGCCGCCCATCCGCACCGCCGCCGCCGCCGCCATGACGCAGACCGGCGACGAAGATGAGCCGATTCCTCCCAAGGTCGGCTACAATCTGGACTTCCTGGACGACCCCAGCTTCAACCCGTTCGCCACGGGGTCAGGCATCCGGCTGAGCCCGCCCGCGTCCCCGAGCCCGGCGCTACCGCCGCTGAAGGCAGCGCGCACCAAGAAGCAGCGCGAGGCGGCAGTGGCGGCGGCAGCGCCTGCTGCGCCCGCTGCGCCCGCCGCGCCCGCCGGCGCCGAGGAAGTGCCGGCCAGCGGTGACCCGGCCGCGCCGCCGACGCCGGCCGAGGAGCCGCCGCCGCCGCAGAAGGCCCCCGTTAAGAAGGCGGTCCGGCCGGCGAGGCGGCCTCTGAAGAAGAAGCCGCCGCCGCCGGCCGCGGAGCCGGTGGCGCCGGCGGAGGAGAACCGGTCTGACAGTCCGCCGCTGCCGCCGGCCAAGGGCTACAACCTGGACTTCCTGGAGAACGTCGACGACCCGAACTTTAATCCGTTCGCCACCAAGACGGCCGTGGCCAACTCGCCGTCGGGCTCGCCGCAGCCTGCGCGGAAGAGCTCGCCGCCCGTCGCCACGCCGCCGCGGGCGAAGCCTGCCTCAAAGCCGGCGGCCGCGGCGAAGTCTGCAGCGTCACCACCGTCGGCGGCCGCGGCGAAGCCCGCCGCCGCGCCACCGCCGGAGCCGGAGCCGGAGCCGGACCTGGAGACGATGCCGGAACCGGAGCCGGAGCTGGAGACGATGCCGGAGCCGGAGTCGGCGGGCTCGCCGGAGCGGCTCGACAGCTCGGGGCCGGCCGAGCCGGAGACAACGGTCATTGAGAACGGCTCACCGGACCCGCGCGGCGGCGGCGACTCGGCCGCGGCTGGCCCGTCCGCCGCCAGGGCGCCGCACGCCGTCAACCTTCTGGACACGAGTGAGTCGGAAGGCGGCAGGCCGCTGTCGAGGAGGCGGTGGCGGCAGCCGCCGCCGCTGTCTTCCTCACTGGTAGCGTCAGGCTTCAGCCGTTCTTTACAGCCATGGCACGGCGGCGCAGAACCGAATGCTAAATGTGATGCTTGCTATTTCCGGTGGATTTTTTGTCGTCTCTGGCGATGGCGTGTTATTGGCGTTAAGCACCTGGTCGAGGCTTTCGCGATCACTTGCAAAAATATGGAGATGAAATCAGAAGACTCATCATAATGCTGACGTGCTGCATGTGTGGAGATATATGCCTGGCTAATCACGTTAAAACGCCTGCATGTATGGTGCGCCTCGGCGTTTTAACCCGTTTTGCCGGTGCGCACCGCCAGCCGCGTTGTGGCTGGGCTTTGTGTGCCGATATTTAGCAGCGCTCCCAATTGGAACAATGCTGTGAAACCCGGACACGCCGTGTAATAATCCGCCTTCGGAGGATGCGAGACAACCGTGCGCCTTGCTATAGACTGGGTGCTTGGCGAGCCATTCATCGCCGCTGCGTCGGTATTGAGTCCGGAGTGAATAATGGCACGTACTGCCGAGCAGTATAACAGCGTGAAAGCCACCCGTTATTTTGCTTTCCGTTGCTCTGGCCCAGACCATGATGCTTGAACGAGTCCGTAACGTGTTCCCCTCTATCCACAACACCTGAGGTTTACAGCAACATACAGGTGAATCGTATTATGTAAAGATCGATCTTTGGTAGGTTCCTGAAACGGTTTGACTTACGCTTTGTCACCTTTGCTCGATCTATGCAGATTTGGATTATGGTCACGGCCTGCAAACGACTAACGGTAATATCTCGCTTGCAGCGCCTCTGGAGTTGGACGAAGTGATCGGCACTTCTGACGCCGACCCCGAGATGGCGTTGGGGTCCAACGACACGTTTATGCCAGCCACAGAATGTAAGCATTGCGAAATGCCCAGTGAGACAGCGTTCTATGCCCGTCACGTCCAGATGTTATGGTCCGATTGGTTTCGAAACTTGTCAGTTGTCTGCTGACCCCGATTTATCGCAGCGTAGAATCTGCAACACATTGATATTCACCTTGCGGGTACTTTTGCGCTCACGTGCGATCTGAAGCGGAATCGCTTAGTGCAAATGCGCCGCCGGCCGCGGACCGTGCAACAGAACATCACACGCGCTATCGCAGCTGGTCCGTCGGGGCGTCGGCCGGGCGGGCCCCAGCAGTGGGCGGCGCCCTGGGTCGGGCGCCGGCTGCCTCTCTCAGATGGGAACGATGTCCGGCTCTGGGCCTCCGCCTGGGCCGACGGCGCGCACCCGGCGCCTGCGCCGCTGCCCCCGGACCCACGGAACGGCGCCCCGCGCCCTCTGTGCGGCTGACGGTGTTCGGCGCGTGATTGGGTCACGCGCGGCACCGAGGGCCACCGACGGCCTCCCTCCCGGCTGTCTCGCGCCGCTCGCGCCTGGCAGCTGCGGGTAATTGGCCGGATGGCTTTACGAGGTGATTCAGGTCACGTGCGGAATGTAGTCAGCTCTCGTGATGTGTCGAGCGGGCCCCTGCCCTGCTCGTGCGGGGCGTGCGACCGTGCGGCCGCGCATTTGATCCCCACAAAATCATCCAGGCGTGTAGTGACATGCACTTTAAGAGCGGGTGTTCCCTCAGAGTCAATCAGTTGTGCCCAGCACTCTCCACCCCCCCCCCCCTCCCCTCACCCTGTGACACAGTATGACGATACGATCAAGGCGCCCGAGGTCCCAAAAGACCCAGTAACGTACCAACCATGCCTCCAACTTTATGACCATAAGGTCGGCCCCCTCCCCCCGTCAACTGAATACAGAGCAGGCGGTCAAGTCCTAAGAGTTGTAGTTATGTGTCGTTTCGAAGCAAGTTTGATCATGCGTGCTCGCCCGACCCCTTCGACTGAAGTGGCGGGACTGCACGCTGCGTGGCGCTCTGTGAGCCGGCGGACTGTCGTAGGTGTGTGAGGCCGCCAGCCACAAACCAGGGCACACTGGTCAGCGCGGTAACGCTCCCGCCCGCGGCCCAACCGCCCACCCCCTAACCCCTACCCGGCCACAGAGGGCGTAATGACCGAGTGGTTAGCCTATTAGACTCCCACGTGGAGGTGGAGGGGGGGGGGGGGAATCCCGGATTGCCTTGCCCCCCCCCCCCCCCAAGCGCTAGCATGGCCAATGCAGTCGCATGCGCTAAGGTAAGGGGCTTGACGACATGCGTTGTGTTCTTTTTAAAAAGCCCTCATCTGCCGGCCAAGCGACGGTCCCCCACCCGCGATGGCTGCTGTTGCACGGCGAGCCTCCCCAGTGGCGGCCTGTGCCGTCCACCTGCTGTTCGTCGCCGCGCGTCAGGCGCGCCGAGTGTTCGCCGCACCGCGCTGGTAGCCGCTCGACGCCTGCCGTGACGCTGACATGTGGCTGGTGTCGCGGTGGGCAGTTTTCCACGACGCGGCGGCGCTGGACAGCCTGGCGGAGCACGGCGACGGACGGCTGGCGTCCAACATCGCCCGCAACTCGCTGTTCGTCAAGTTCGACCCGCTGCTGGGCCGGCCCAGCGTGCTGCCCCAGCTGGATCGACAGGCCGGGTAAGTGCTGCTGGTCAGCCGCGGTGGGACCGGGGTCCCGCTGGTGCCGCTGTGGTGCTGTGGTGACTGGGAGCCGCCGTCTCGTCGGCCGTCGAGGCTGGTGTGCGGAAGTCGAGAGGCGGCCGTCGAGGCTGGTGTGCGGTAGTCGAGAGACCGGGCCGTCGAGGCTGGTGTGCGGAGGTCGAGAGACGGCCGGGCCGCTGGTGTGCGGAGGGTCGAGAGACGGCTGGCCGAGGCTGGTGTGCGGGGTCGAGAGACGGTCGAACCGCTGGTGTGTGGAGGTCGAAGACGGTCAACCGCTTGGTGTGCCGGAGGTCAGGAGACTGCCGGCCGCTGGTGTGCTGGGGTCGAGAGACGGTCGACCGCTGGTGTGCGGAGGTCGAGAGACGGCCGGACCGCTGTGTGCGGAGGTCGAGAGACCGGCCTGGTGTGGCGAAGGTCGAGAGACCCGCGAGGCTGGTGCGACGGAGGGTCGAGAGACGGCCGATCCGCTGGTGCGTGGAGGTCGACGAGACGGCCGACTGCTTGGTGTCGCGGAGGTAGAGAGGCGGCCTTCAAGGCTGGTGTGCCCTGCTTCTCTGCCTGGTTGTTGGTGTGTGGGTGTGGGTGTGGCGTGTTTGCTTTGGGTCCGGTCGCTCAATCGGTTACGTGCTGATGCTGGCTGCATCTGTCTTGCCCGGTGAATCATTCAGCTAATTAGGAGTCTTTTCCGGCTGCCGAAAGTTTGGCGAGGGAATATGGGTCTCCGTCCGCCTGGTCTTTCCACAGCTGCAGTGTGAGACGATCGGTGAGGTTGATTGCAATTGGGCTCTTACCACGGCGTCGGTGCTGTCCGTAGTCTGCTCGCTGCTGTGCCGGGCGTCGGCAGCGCCCGGCGGCCGTACCACTGGCGGGTGGGTGGCCGGCCACCTCGCCGGGCCCGTGTGTTGAGACCATCAGCCCGCTAGCGGGTGGGTGGCCCCGCCTCCTCGCCAGGCCCGTGTGTCGAGGCCATCAGCCCGCTGGCGGGTGGGGTGGCCCGCCTCCTCGCCAGGCCCGTGTGTCGAGGCCATCAGCCCGTTGGCGGATCGGTGACCGGCCACCTCGCCGGGCCCGTGTGTCAAGGCCATCAGCCCGCTGGCGGGTGGGTGGCCTGCCTCTTCGCCGGACCCGTGAGTCGAGGGTCATCAGCGTGTCGTCGACCGGTGAGGCCGCCGGGCACCGCCCGCCGCCCGCCGCCCACGGGGCTGGCACGGGCGGCTGCCCGGCTGCGGCGCCGGCCACCGGCACCGGCCGCGCACTGCATCACGGTGAAGGCTGCTCTCAGCCGGTGGCCCACCGCCGTCGCGCGACTGTCGGTCGTGTCGCATGCAGCTGTGAGAGCTGCCGTATCTCCCGCTGCTGCGACACGGGTGTGCGGGAAGAGCGTCGCGCCGCGCCGCGCGGCCGCCGCTGCCGGCCCTGGTCGCCGCGGGAAGGTGCTCTCCAGGTGCGTGCGCCTGGTGACGGGCGTGTACGGCTGTAGGCTAGCCGATATTTTTGAAAAGCGCTGCACCGGCCGTCGCCATAGCTCCGTCTCGCCCGCACGGCGTGGTCGATTGCGGAGCTAGCGCGTTGCACTCGGCAGATGAGTGACTCAACTACTAGAGCATTGGCTCATCCCCCCCCCCCCCGCTTTCGAGCGAGCGGCGCTGGTTAGCGGAGCAGGCCCATAGCGGGTCTGGTCAGGGACGCACCGCTCCCAGCCAGGCTCGGGGGATGGGGAGACGCGCCAGAACAGATGGCCGCCGCGCGCAGTATGAAGCCGTGCATGTACCGAACCGTGCTTTGCATACGGGCCGACCCACGACATTACCATGGAAAACGCTGTTGCCGTATTTGCGTAATGGAGGCTGGGCGATGAAAGATGACGCGTGGTGCGAGGCGGCGCTGGCGCTCGTCTGCCGCGGAGAGCGGCGCGATGGCGAGCCCGGCCTTCGGCGGCGCCCAGCCGGCCACAGGTGGCCGGCCGCTCCCGGTCCGGCCGAAAGCAACGGATCGGCTGGGAATCTGAATAGAGATGACGCGATTGGAGGGGCGTTGTGGCGCGGCGCGCCGAACCGCCGCCCTAGAAAGGCGGCGCGCGCGCGCGGCGGCGACGGCACACCTGCGGCGAGCCGGACGTGTTTGTCGGCACGTTTTACCCGTTCGGTCAACACCGGCGACGGCAGAGACGGCGCGCGGTCGGCCTGCGCGCGCGGCGCCGCACGGGGGCGGCCCCCGTGCGGCCCGAGCCGTCTTTGTTCGCGGCCGCAGACGGCCCGGCGGGCGGGTCGGCTGGAGGCGCGGGATGAGGGCGCCGAAAAAACCACAGGGCTGGGAAACGTGGCGGGGTCTGATAGACGCGCAGGGCTGGAGGTGAGCGCTGAATGGGCTGGTGATGTACGAGCGGTAACTGGGTCGAAGTACCCGCATGAAGCTGTGAAACCGAACGCCAACACGCGCCGGCCGCAGCCTTGAATGAGAAGTGGATCGCGAAGTGCGTGGTGAATTCAGCCGCGCGTCGAGACCTCCACCTGTGCCGAGCGGGGGAAGCCGCTGCGTCCGCTCTGCAGACGGAGCGGTTTCGTACGTCTGCAAGCGTTCCGGAAACGTCGCGGCCTTCAGGGGCGCGAGCTCGGACCGTGGGCAGCCTATCTGTATTTGCCAAGTGGCAGCTGTGGACTCGGTGTCGCGACCGGTTGCAGCGGGGAGGGGCTGCCAATGCCGCTCAAGGCCGCGCTACTGGCGGCGCAGTCTGCCGGTCGGCGGTCCCAGACCGGCGGCCGATCGGCAGCGCCGGTTACCGCTGTCGCCGACCGCGACCAATGGCAAGAGCGCATCAACACGCGTGTGACGGTCGGCGCAGGCTGAAGCCGGAGCTGGCGTCGCAGCGTCAAACCCGTCCGCCCCCGCGCGCGCGCCGACTGCGTGTGGGCCGTGTTTGGACAGCAGGGCGGAGCGGGCCGGACGGCGGCGTGGCGCACGATGGCTTCCGGCTGCCCCCGGCGCCTGCCGGCCGACTGATGCGGGTCAGCGCTGGCCGGCGCGCGCGGGGCGGGCCTCGTTAGCCGTGATTGGAGACCGCCTGCGCCGCGGTTCGGGCAGCCGTATCCATCACGGCGCGGCCAGCTCGCACTGATGGCACCGGCCGGCGGCGGCGCGCCCTGCTCGGCGGCGCCGCGGAGGGGGTGGCTTCTGACCCGGCACGCGTCGTGCCGCCCCGCCGCACGCCGGCCTTATAAGGCGGAGTGACCGGCAGACCGCGGACGGCAGATCGCGCAGATAGCCGCCGTGTGGAAATGGGCTGCGCGCCGCCGCACGACACGGGGAGGCCGCTGAGTCGCGAAACCCCGACCGAGCGCCGGAGCGCCCCGCCGAGCCGGCCGGCGGTGTCGGGCGGGTCGGCCGGCCGCGCCGCTCGGCGGGGGCCCGCGCCGGGTCGCCGCGCGCCGCCCACGGTCGACCCTGGACGCCGGGTCGGCGGCGGCCGCGCGGCCGGCCGCAGTCGCGCCGCCGAGCGCCCCGCAGCCGGCTGGAGCACGCCGCCGATCGGAGCCAGGTGCGGCCGGGCGGCGCTCTGTCAGTGGCGGCCGCGCGCTGCCGGCGGACGCACGGCGTCCAGTGGTGACGGTGCGGGACGGCGGCGAGCGGGCGAGTGCGATGCTGGCGCGTGAGGCGGCCGGGCGGGACGCGTTCCTGCTCACCCGCGCTCGCTGGGAGGCGGCCGGAGGACGGCAGGAGCCGGCCGCCGGTGGCGGAGCGGGCCCGTCGGCGGACAGGTGGTCGCCGTCGAGAGACTCTGAGTATGGAACTAGGAAGAGTTCGTGGCGATCCGCCCGCTCCGTCGACCGATCGCTGCATTCTCCGGAGCGAGCCGACGCTACGCTCGACGCGGTGGGCTCGGTCGGGAAAAAGGTATTGCTTCCGTCGGAGGGCAGGGATCGGCGAAAGAAGCGCGTGACCAAGAGCCCGTCCCTGGAGTCTAGACCCGCTCCGAGCGATGTCGCCTCGCCCTGGCGGCGGCAGCATGAGGAGAGCGGCGGGGATGACTGCGCCGGCAGCAGCCGTGACGCCCTGAGCCTGCGGTCCGGCTGGGGCGGCTCGCTGCCTCGGCGGCGCTCGCAGCGGCCGACTGCCGACGTCGGCGAGCCGTCGGACGCGCCGCGCCTCATCTCGGGCCGGCTGGCGCGCCAGAGCGAGACCTGCGTCTTCTCCAGCCCGGACCTGACGCGGCCCGACCAGGCCGGCACGCCGCGTCGCGACTTGTTCGCGCCGGTGGGGGGCCGCGCCTCGCCGCGCGTCAGCCGCCGCGACCTGGACGAGATCTTGGAGCGCGCAGCGCGCCGGCGTGCGTCGCGACAGGCGGCCGGCGCCGCGCCGCCGGCCGTCTCTGCGCGGTCGCTGTTCGCCGGCGAGTGGCGCGGTCGCGCCGGCCGTTCTTCGGCCGCCGACGCGTCGGATCGTTCGTCGGAGGGCGGCGGGGAGATGGACGGCGGCGGCGCGAGCACGCCGCTGCTGCGACGGGACAGCGCCGGCTCGGACCTGTCGAGCGCGGCGGCGAGCCTCAGCAGCGGCCGCTCGGGCAGCTCCGGACCGCCCGAGAGAGAGGTGACTGTCGGCAGGACTGGCACGCTCTCCTCGCGGTTCCGAGAACGCGAGGCCGCCGCTGCGGAGCGCGGCGGCGTGCCTGAGCCGGCGGCGCGGACGCCCGGGCCGCGGCCGCCGGACGGCACCAGTCCACCGGCAGAGGGCGGAGATGTAGCGGGAAGGATGGAACCGAAGACTCCCGACGCAATAAAACAGGCGCCCGACACAACCAGCGACCGCCGCGTGGAAGAACCAGACGCTGGGGTGGAAGCGCCCGATGATAGCGAGGGCTTTGGTTTGAGGGGCGCGTCGGGTGCAGAAGCGAAGGGACGCTTATCGGATCTGGAGGAAGGTGCGCACGACTTAAGCTGGACGCCGCGCCAGGAGCCGACCTCGGGCTTGGAGCTTAGTCA